TGAACACATAACTCAAAGGCAAGTATGCTAACCAGCTATCTCATGACTAACACTAGGATCTAGAGTAATGAGAATACATAAGGAAGATTGCATCAGGCTGAATTGGAGAATAGAAGAAAAATAAATGAGTGAAGTGTTATTGTGAATCTCTAATGGCAATTTTTAAACCATTGTTCTGTAAATAATCAAAATATTACTTGTGAAAAGTAAAATCCCCACAGAAATCTCTTCTGAAATTCTCCAGGAAGGAAGTGATGGAGGATTGTTTTAATCTTGTGTTAAGTAATTTATCAGATTCAAATGAAAAAAAAGAGATCTGTAAATCATTGGCACTATGGGACTTACCAAGCTAGCTTTGAAAGACCAGAGAGTCGAGACTTATCTGAGATCGCTACTTTATATGCACTTGTCAAAAAAAAGTCACTTCAAAACTTAACCTCTGTGAAAATTATAGATAAAAGCTGGGTTCAACACAGTTTAGTTTGCATCTTGCTTTATTACGGACCTCTCAACAGTGACATTTGGATAAACTACAGAGAGCCTTCACGTAATACAGCTGAATTCTGTGCACATAAGAGGAAGATCAGTCTATATAGCATCACCTCATACAACAATCCTATCTGACTAATCTCTTGGAGAGACCTAATTGTGTCACGGAAAATATCACTCCAGTCACAAATGAAAGAAATCATCAAACATAAAAAGTTCTATTTTGTTTTTACGCTACTACTCCCTGCTGCCGTTGTTTCCTTTGTCATTGTTATTGAATACATTTTGTGAAATAGAGCTTTTGCTGACCCGAAAATGCAATGCATCCTTCACTCAGAAACAGACTGCAGACATTGATACTGGACTGTCTTGTCACAAGAAATAGCAGAAAGGAAGCATCACAGTGGCTGAAGTTGTGAGATTAAGCATGGAGAGCACAAGTTTAAGACTGATAAGCCCATGAATACCTGGCTAGACTAGAAATATCTCCTTTTCTTTCTTGAGGCTGGTCTCATTAGCTCCAGCAGTGCTATTCCTTCCTTGCTTTACAGATATTCTTACTCTAGTGATTTCTGCAGAAGAGGTACTTATATCTACTTTCCTGCAGACTTACAATCTTACAATGTGCCTTTCTATTTGGTGAGGTGACAGATAACAATTCTGTTTGCAAGTGACAAGAGTAGTAATTGTGTGGCCTGAAGTGGTGATGGTGAGAGGGGACACTGAGTCAAAAACTAGACAGATCCTCCATGGAGGAAGGGTGTCTTCAACAGGCTGGGGTGAAGTGACAGGCCTTATGGAGAAAGAGCGACAGAGACAAAAGACTTCTCAACCAAGATATGCATTTGCAGGTTGGTTCCATTGTTTTTGTAGCTTTTGTCTTAATTTCACTAAATATTTATAAAGACCCAATGCCATTGTACTACTGAATGCCAGCTTCATGGTTGTCCATGTGCTAAATTTCCAGCTTACACTAAGAAGATCAAAAACAGAATGCATCAATATAAGATGGTCACTGAGAAATCAACAAGAGGATTCATAAGGAACATCTTCACCTGGACAGTGCTAGGAAGGTGGAACTTTATGCCACAAGGAATAGTTGAGGCAAACAAAGGAAGCTCAATAAATGCATAAGATAGAAAGGAATATTATCATTGGTTGAGATGAGATGAAGCTAGCCCAGTGGAGCCTGAACTCTGGCATAGACTGGCTGGGGGAAATGGTCTGTTCCTGTGATGTAGATTCGGTCTAAATCTATGCACATAGAGAATTTTCTCCAAACGTCTCCAACACCTAAATCAGGCTGAAAGAGCAGTTTCTAATTTTATTGCTATTTGTCCTATTTATTGCTATCAGCACCCCCACTGTGTAATTGCTTTTCGTTGTTGACTCAAATAACCTACAAATTGTTGCTTTTTAAAATTTGTTTCCTGTGTTCATAAAACACAGGGATCCTTCCTGATGTGGTAGTCTAGAATGTGGGCTGGCTTTCTCAAGTCCACTGTAATTTGACAAGTAGCTGTGGAGATATATCTTGACCGAGAAGTTTCAGAATCACAGCATGCTTTTTGTTCCCTCCTGCAGTGTTACATATATCACTAAGTGTATAATAACTCTGCCAAGTTGTATATTACTGGGAGCTAAATATCTCTAAGCGCTTACTCTACCTTCCTTCAACACTTTCGTTCCTCAGTAGCCACAGAGCAAAGCAAAATATTTCTTCTATATCTTCAATTAAGTTTCCTCCTTTCCTGAAGCAGCTGGAAAATACTGGGATGTCCTTTTCTTGTTCTATCACTCCATTCTCCAAGATCTCATCCTGCTGTTCCAAATTTCTCACAAAGAAACAGGCTATTCAGCCCAACAGGTCCAGGTTAGCATCTATGCTCTATCTGAGTTTGCTCCTAGACCTCGACACCCAATCTCGTCAGCAATATTTTCTATCCCTTACTGCCTGCTTATCACTTCCCCTTAATGCACTTACATTATTTACTTCAATGATTTCTTGTAGTAGAATGTTCTATTTTTCTCACCACGTCTGGTTAAAGATGTTTCTCTATTGATGTACAATCACCTAATTAAAAGAAAAATCCTGCAGCTGCTTGAAATTTGAAAAGAAAGTGCTGGAAAAATTCAGAACAAAGAGTTAATTAACATTTTGTGTCCAATATGATCCAAAATTCTGAAGAAGAGTCATATCAGACTTGAAATGTTAATTCTTTCTCTCTCTAGCGATGCTGCTAGACCATAAGTCCGTAAGACATAGGAGCAGAAATTAGGCCACTTGGCCCATCGAGTCTGCTCCACCATTCAGTCATGGCTGATAACTTTCTCAACCCCACTCTCCTGCTTTCTCCCTGTAAGCTTTGATTCCCTTGACAATCAAGAACCTATCTATCTCTGTCTTAGATATACTCAATGACCTGGCCTCCATAGCTTTCTGTGACAATGAATTCCATAGATTAGTCACTCTCTGGCTGAAGAAGTTTCTCCTCATCTCTGTTCTAAAGGGCCTTCCCTTTACTCTAAAGGTGTGCCATCGAGTCCTGCCAATGGAAACATCTTCCCAACATCCACTCTGTCCAAGCTATTCAGTATTCTGTAAGTTGAGTTTGTTCAGCACTTTCTGTTCTTTTTTACTACTTTCATCCATTGCTTGGTTACTTCATTGTTGAGCTATACTGACTGATGCTTCTGTCTCAGTTAAATAATCCAATGGAACCTGGGACAGCCTTGGCCCAGTTTGACACTGAACATTACTCCTGTAAACTGAGTGTTTGGGGCTTTGTTTGGAATTAGTGACACTTGATAAGCCATGCTTTATGCCACAACATACAAATCCATGACTTCCAGAAAAAAAAAACCTAAACTGCAAAACAAGCATAATTTATTTCACAAGTATAGGAATTAACTTTGAGGTGATAAATGCCGTAATCTGAACATTGGATGCAATGTTGTTACTTCATTGTGATGTTGTAGTCATTGGGATGTGGTAATACCATAGACAGAACTAACCCTCTCCAAATATGGACTTAAAGGCAGCTCAATTAGTTACAACAGTTCTATTGCCCACAAATTAAAAAAAGGGCATTTATTTTTATGTTTAGCAGTTGTCATTAAATTCAGCAAGATATTAAAACAAAATTTACAAGTGATTTCATTAACGCTTCTGGAGCTAACAAATGTGTAACCCACCTCATACAAGAGAAAACAAGGTTATTCATTTATTGCAAGATGTAGAGCTTGCTGTTGATTTATGCCAGCCTGTTTTTTGACCCAATGGTGTGCATCCTTAACCTTCTAATTGTCAAGAACTTAAACAAACAGAAAGAGTACTGGAGAAGCGCAGCAGGTCTGCAGCATCTGTGCAGACAGAAACAGAGTTCATGTCCCCTGTCTGTTGTGACTTCTTCAAAAACCCTTTAGAACCCTTTTCTAGACAGCACAGTGGCTCAGTGGTTAGCACTGCTGCCTCACAGTGCCAGGGACCCGGGTTCGATTCCACCCTCGGGCGACTGTCTGTGTGGAGTTTACACGTTCTCCCTGTGTCTGCATGGGTTTCCTCTGGGTGCTCTGGTTTCCTCCCACAGTCCAAAGATGTGTAGGGTAGGTGGATCGGCCATGCTAAATTGTCCATAGTGCCCAAGGATCTTTAGGTTAGGTGGGTTAGACATGAGGAAATCAGGGATAGGGGAATGGGTCTGGGTGGGATGCTCTTTGGAGGGGCAGTGTGGACCTGTTGGGCTGAATGGCCTGTTTCCACACTGTAGGGATTCTCTGAAGAAGAGTCACACCAGACTCCAAAGTTAACTCTGTTTCTCGCTTCACAAATGCTGCCAGACATAGAACATAGCACAGTACAGGCCCTTCAGCCCACAATGCTGTGCTGACCTATTATCCTACTCTAAGATCAATTGAGTTTCTCCAGCATTCTCTGTGTTTGTTTCAGATTTCCAACATCCATAGTATTTTGCTTTTATTATTTAGAACTTGCCAGATTCATATATTACATTCGCTGCAGAAATTTGAGCTGCTGCTTAACAAACTATGATCATTTTAAAAGATATAATAATTATTCATTGTATATGCAAATTAACTGCGTTGGTCCATTACAAGAAGAACTGAATTCTTAAGTATCACTCCTGCAGGTAGTTCATTTTTTTTTCTAGATTTTTAAACTTTTTTTTGTTGTCTATTTCTTTTTCTTATTCTTAGTCTTTTCCTCTCTTTATCCCTCTTTCTAAGTTTGATTTGACTCCAATTCACTTCACTTTCCATTCTTTTGCTATTTCCTTCACAAACCTATTCATTCTCACTGGTTATGGAGGTGGGCATTTGGTTCCAGGGATTATGAAGACCCCAGATGCCCTGCTCACAACTTTCGGCAACATACACACCATAACGTTTTTGAAACTAAGAGGGCGAGGGAGAAAGCAATCTATCAAATAAGAAGCATCACTTCATCATGATTTATGGCACACGCTTGCACAAAAATAATTTTGCAAACCTACCCGGCCAACGAGGATAGGCTCGGGACCAGAAAACTCTTCCAGCACGAACATTTGATTCCAGACCCAGCCTCTCTTGGCACGGTTGAAAGCGCTAGGGTCACCATTCAGCCCATTCAATGCCAAGATACTTCCGTCCTGCAAACTCTGTGGAGGGTCCATTGTGATTGGCTGCACTAAGGGAAGCACGCTAATCCATGCCAGCATCAAGCGAGTCCAGAAATCCATCAGCATTGTCCCCAATCTCTCGGCCATTATCCCGTTGCTTTCCAAGGCGGTTTCTGAAGGATTGGAATGGGATAGTGGCAGCAGTGGGAAGTCAAGCAGGGGCGCACGTGACGAGAAACTGAAAAAAATCCTCAGTAAATGTTCCTTATGACTGTGGTCTTTTGTGGTTCAAAGTCATTAAGGTTGTCATGTAGTGAATCAGGCTTTCTTGCACGGTGCTTTTGGTGTGTCTACAGGACACTGAGTGTAAACAACAGAGATGCCTTTAATCTATCAGTCGAGTTCATGGCTTGCTCATTCATGACAATGTTCTAGAAACATAATAAGGGAGAGTCATTAGTTTACTTCCTTGCTTCTATAACATAACCTTTACCATTTCACAGCTTTAAAGAGCACTTTGATTCAAAGAATGAGGCCATTTGGCCAATTAGGACTGAACCAACTCCTCAAAAGAACTATCCAATTAGTCCCACATGCAACGTTCTAACCCTGGAGCCCTGCAATTTATTTTTTCCCTTTGCAACTACTTGTCCAATTCCCTCGTGACAGTTACTGTTGAATCTGCTGCCATTGCCCTTTCAGGCAGTGCATTCTAGATCACAACAACTTTCTTCATGAGAAAATGTGTCTCCCGTTTCTTTTTAAATATTTACAAATGTACAGTGACATCAGTTTCCTTTCAGATAATCTGAAAACAATTGTTACTCAACTCCCAGTGAAACTGATATACACCTCTGAGTCAGGGTCATGTCACCTGTAAAATTTCATACAATGTAAACTCTTTGCCAAATAATTGTCTTAGAATGACAGTAGCTGAACTGACCTGATTGATGGTCATACTGAGCCATGGTTGTACAACATCTTGGTTAATGTGCATCATGATATGAGGAAGGGAGTAAATTGTGGCTGTTAAAAGATCTTGTGATGACTGCCAAATATTTTATAAAATCTATGCACTCACAGGACATGAAGGCAAGGCCAGCATTATTACCAGCCTCTCACTTATCTTGACAACATGGTGGTGATTCACTTTCATTGTCAGTAGAGGACAAGGTAACATTTACCGTTGTGACGTGAAGGTTATTTGTCCTCATGGTTTCCTACAAATATGTAACATCCCAGGTCAATTCAGAATCCAACATATTGCTCTGGGTCTGGAGTCCCTTGTGGGACAGACCAAGCACAGAGGGCAGATTTCCCTCCTGAAAGAATATACTTAAGCCAGTTATATTTTTACAACAATCTGGTATTTACATGGTTACCATTACCAGCAGTTTAGTTTTGAATCCGTATTTATTTATTTGATTAAGATCCCCAGCTATGATATTGGGATTTATTCTTGTGTGCTATGATCATTGGCACAGTGGCTCAGTGGTTAGCACTGCTAGCTCACAACACCAGAAACCCGGGTTTGATTCCACCCTTGGGCTACTGTCTGTGTGGAGTTTGCACATTCTCCCCAGGTCTGTGTGGGTTTCCTCTGGGTGCTCTAGTTTCCTCCCACAGTCCAAAGATGTGCAGGTTAGGTGGATTGGCCATGCTAAATTGCCCATAGTGTCCAGCAATGTGGAGGTTGGATGAATAAGCCATGGTAAATGCAGGGTTACAGGGATAGGGTAGGGGAGTGGGTCTGGGTGGGATGCTCTTTGGAGGGATGGTGTGGACTTGATGGGCCAAATGACTTGCTTCCACCCTGTAGGGATTCCATAATTCTATCATTGATTGAGTAACATACGCACTATGCAGCCATTCCAGTGACCAACCTGAACTCCTCTCCACATGTTCTACCATGTTGATCAATATTAGAGAGTTGCTGCTTAGTGATCAAAATTAGGAAGACTTCTCCTTCCCAAGTTCACCAAGTTGTAGCAAATTTCTACTTTTGCCTAGAGAGAGATCATTAATTCAGCATGCACCAAGGATCAAAGAGGACCTTTTCTGATTTGTATGATTCAATACGACACTCACTCATCCATTTGTCCAAATGAGCACCAAATGAGCAAGCCCACAATTTATTGACAGAACGCATCACTTATAATCTGATTTGGTAACATATTATTGAAGAAATATGACACTGTCAATAAAGGAAATATCACATCAGAGTTAAAAGCTTGCTTAAATGTGGCACATTTAAGGAGTATAATGATGGAGAAGAGAGAGGTTGAGAGTTACAAACAATTAAGGAAGGAATTGTAGCGCTTAGGACTAAGGAAGCTAAAAAGCGGGAGCATCAATGATGAAACACTGGAAGTGAGGGATGTGCTAAAGGTCAGAATTGGAGGTGAGCAGATACCTCTGAAGGTTGTAGAGCTGGAGGAAGTCTTGGGGATGGGGGGATCATGTTATGTAAGAAAGATGAAAATTCGGAAAATCAAGGTAATGCAAGATTGTAAATTGTTAGATTTCTACAAGTTCATTGGTGCTAAGGATACAGTCTATCCTGTAGACTTTCTATACAATCAAGATTTCTATAAGCAAGTCCTCAACATATTAAGTGATTAAACGTATGATTTCATTAAAAGGATTAAGAAATCTTCCTTCATTCCAAGGGTATAGACAATCAATTCAAGTATAGATTCTCAACCACCACACTGCAACTCAGGTCAGATATTTCTTTTCTTTCCAAGGGAGAAACATTGATTTCAAAACATTGTCTCTAGCTTTAAGAGCTTAAGCGGTTTACATGTTCGGTAATATTTAGTCAGCATATCAGTGGCTTCATTTCAGCAAGCTGCAGGACCTAAGGAAAAGATTACTGCTGCAAAAAGACACATTTTGTCCAAACTATATCATCTTGCACCAATCAGGACATTTCACAAGAACACTAACATGGGAAAAAAAAATTTATACTGCATGAGAGGAGAATGTTGATGAATTGACAAGTGGACTCTAATTAGTAGCGGCATTTCCATGGAAAAAGCAGCAGGTAATGATTGACAGTTAACAACCAGGCTTTGCTTAGAATTCATACCAAACAGATTGATTCTGATTAGTCATGGCATTGTGTTGAGAAATAAACTAGTGAATAGTTGTTACTCTATTTGTTGAGTTGTAAGAAACAGATGCAATATGCGTATGTTCTTTCTGTATGCAAATGATAACATCCTGTGTACTAATATGTGTAGCTTCCTGTACATACAGTGAACCACACTGTGAGCCCAACTGATAACCTTAACCTGGTTCCCTGTGGAATTCTTCATATACTCAGGATTATCCAGCAAATGCTGCCAAATTCCAAAATCACATCTAATATTGGACACTGTGTTGTGGGCACGGTTGGCTGGGTGTGGTCAACACCAAGTTTGTTGCAAACAGCTGAAGTGGGATGATTCAGTCCAAAAGGGGCAGCATGGTGGTTCAGTGGTTAGCCTCACAGCACCCAGGAACCAAACTCAAAACTAGCTTTGGGCGACTGTCTGTGTGGAGTTTGCATGTTCTCCCTGTACCTGCGTGGGTTTCTGCCGAGTGCTCCGGTTTCCTCCCACAGACCAAAGATGTGCAAGTTAGGTGGATTGGCCATGCTAAATTGTCCATTGTTTTCAGGGATGTGTAGGTTAGGTGCATTAGCCACAGGAAATGCAGGGTTACAGGGAGAGGGTAGGGGGATGGGTTTGAATGGGATGCTGTTCGGAGGGTCAATGCAGACTTGTTGGGTCGCCTGTTTCCACACTCTGGGGAATTCTATGATAATTCTATGAATTCTAAAAAGCTTTGGGAAATACAGCTTAAATGTGTTTTTCATTTGTGTGGTAGGCAGGAAGCCTTTTTGGCTTGGTGGTACTATCTTTTTAGTGGCAAAAGCCATCAATGTTGCTCCTGCGTAGTAACAGTAGGAAACAGTGAACTCCACCTGTTGCTTACATGTGTCAGACACCTTACATTTCCAGGGTCATCTGAAGTAAATGGGTATTTTTTTAGGAACAACCCTAAGGTGGTCAGTCATTAACTCCTGCATTAGCTTTAGTAAAGTCTTAGAGTCCACCAATCAGTCCTCTCATTCAGTATAAATGTTGGTTTTCCCCTTTATTGGTACTCTTGTGAAATGTCCTGAGGAGCAAAAGATGAAAAGTTTCAACAAAATGTATCTTTCTTCAGCAATACTCAAGTTCTGCACTACCAAATAACTATTTCAAAAAAGATAATTGGATGGAGTTTCTGTTGGAAAGTAGACAAGTTAGGTCATGCCACACATTTCCCCAAAATTCAGTCACATAATTACAAACGTAAAATCTTCCATGAATTCAGGCAGCGTAATAGGATGCAATAATTTCTTTTTTTGTCTTTATACAAAAAGGAATTCCTTGATTTCTTTTTAAGAACAAGAACATGTGCTGCTTTTTTACAACCGATAATTTATCAACACAGCTAAGCATGATTAATAAAGGTATCTATGACTTCTTCTGTGATTATCTGATATGAAATCATTGAAAATTACTCCAAAAGAAAACAGTGTGAAAAATGTAATGGTTTAATTTGTGTACACAAGTCATTTCTAGTAAATTAAACATTTTTTGATATGGTATTCACTTAAACTGTATTTAATGTTTATGGGGCAGCAGTGGCTTTGTGGTATTAGCGTTGAATTGTTAATCCATATTCCCAGGTAATGTTCCAGGGATCCGGGCTCGAATCCTGCCATGGGAGATGGTGGATTTTGAAATCAACAAAATACCTAATGATGACCATGAATCCATTGTCAGTTGTTGGAAAAACCCATCTGGTTCACTAATGTCCTTTAGGGAAGGAAACTGCCATCCTTACCTAGGCTGGCCTACATGTGACTCCAGGCCCACAGCAACGTGGTTAAGTCTTAACTGCCCTCTGGGTAATTGGGGATGGGCAATAAATGCTGCCTAGCCAGCAACATCCTCATCCTGTGAATGAATAAATGGAAATGTGTCCACTGCACTTAGGAAGAGGAACATAACTTGGACCCTTTTGCAAGACCAACAGATATTGGTGGAATCTTGCAATTGTAACCCAGCAAGTTAGGAAGCTGAATATTAAGGAGACAATTTGTTGCATTA